ATCTCAGTCGTTGTCATGTCCGACACGCTTCTCTTTTTTTGGGAAATAGTCAGACATGCGGAAAGGAGTCAGATGTGGCAGCAACGTCACACACCCTATCAGTCCTTCAGCTGGGGATCTCCATGGCATATGGATGGGATCTCGGCTGTGCCATGTGGCCAGCTGCACGATGCCATGGAGCTATTTGGCCCGGGGCCCATGCAAAAGTCATGCAAGTAGCCATTGTTGAGCAGATAATGTCACCAGCCCTACAGCCCTACACAGCCCTCACCCCACATGTCAAAGGAAGCGGTGCGAGCCAGATTCAGAGCAAAGCTGCGTGACTGCACTCTGTTCTGCAGCCAAGTTGTGACCCTGCAGGGGGCGACATCCATTCTTCGAACAGATCATGGAAGTCAAAGCACTCTGCAGCGGCTTAGGGTTGCAGGTTTGGGCTTTGTGCTCTAAGAACCCCACACCTTCCGCCCAAACTGCTGAAGGAATGATGCGATCGCTGACTCCTGAATCACTGAATGCACGCCTGCGATCCTCCATATGTTCATGAAACTGGACTTCTCAAAGCCTGGCAATCGGAATTCTAAATCCCAAAATAGACTTGCGGCTTTGAACAACCCTCTTGGCCATCCCTGCAAGCTACCCTGCAGGGGGCGCCATACGTTTGGCTCTTAGTTGTTGGTCCCCAAAATAGCTCAAATGGGAATTTCTCAAAAAAAGGCAAAACGCACAGCTTCAGTGAAAACCTCAGCTGAGCCCTGAAACTTCAAGAATTGAGACACGGCTCAGTGCTGAGGTAACACCTGAGAATGCCCAAAAACAGGCAGCGTGAGACAGATATTTTCAAGTTCTGTCAGGTCTATCGCACAGTTTTCGTGGCCTTGCGGGGAGGCATTGGCGCATACAGGGAAATTCCGAGATCTTAATATTCTGATGTCTTCTTCTGCCCGTGCCTCCTGGATCGAAGGCACTGCTTGTCGGGTCTGAGGACTTCACGAAGTCCAGATTTTTGCGGCTCTGGGCCCGTGCTATGAATGTCTGAAAAGGGAATAGAAACATGTTTGTGAGCACGACCCCTTCTAGCAGGCCCAGAGCGTGAAAGCTCCACTAATGCACATCTTCGTGTAAGGTGCATGCTTCCAGCACACAAGACTATTTGGGGCATCCTGGGCCAATATCTTGTGAACTCTTGTTGTGGGCAAGGTGGAAGGACCTGTTGGGAAAGCTTCTAAGCTGAAACCTCCTTTTCTAATGGCAGCAAAACGCCATTCGAGCTGCCGTCTCATCGGCCATCCAGACCTGCCGTTGCTCTGGATTGAAGCGCTTTGAGGTAGCTTCGCTGGAAGCCCGCTTTACATGACTGCATTTGACTGCTGCTGTCCATACAGACCTGTGGTTCAGATTTTGGCCGCCTTCACCGCACAACGCCTGCCCAGGCCTCAGCATTACCACCACTACACGAGGTAGATCGGAATTGCTTGCTGTGCGCTTCTGTGCGCTTTTGTGCTTGCATGGCAACCGCAGTGAGGAGCTTGGTCGGCATGGGGCTGGGAGGCCGGCGGCTTCGGTGCTGAACTCTGCAATGATCTGTTGTCCTGCGAACCAACGCCTGGCACAGTTGTGATTTCACTGTGCAAACAAATGCTTTGCAATGGAGAATACGCTCTGCCTGTCTAGTGCTCGCTGGCAGTTCGCGGCAGAGGTGGCATCCGTGAATTTGACCCACACCTCATGCATATTGCGGTGTCATACAGCACAGAGCTGAGCCCGAGCTGGCGTGAATGCCCTTATGTGCTGGTTTGCTGCCAAGGCACGTCGCCCTTGCTGCTGCCTTGATCTGCAAATACCTTCACAACGGAGCCATACTTCCTGCACTCCTGGCAGAAAGGCGAGGGCTTGCCTTTGCCTGTGCCATATGAACTTTCACATGCTGAAGTCCTGCTCGACGTCTGCATGGATATCGTTGAAGAACTCCGGATCCGCTGCCAGATTCACTTGCGACGGGTTGAACATGCCATGCAGCACCTCAGCCATTTGCCCATGCTCAGACCCCGGAACCAAGAATAAGGAAAATAATAGTAGCAGCAATGGAAAAGAACAATCGTAAGAACAATGACAATACAGCAGCAGGACACTCCACTTCAGCGAATCAAGGATTGCTTTTTTTGAGATTGAGACTGGGCTCCAGAATGCATCTCCGTGTGTTAGGGCAGATTCCCTATTGCGGCACAAAGCCACAGCACACTGCACGGCCCCGGGACTTAGCTGCTCGATCCCGAAATAATTGCTGTGTGGCCTCTGGCAAAGCCCCTTGTGCTTGTGGAAGAAAGGTGCTGCAGACTGAAGCTGGAATGGTATCTGAAGTTGCTGCATGAAAACGTGATCATGCGCCGCTGACCCTTCAGCCTCTCCATCTTGCAAGCCCTGACCGTCCCAATTCATAACCCGCCACAAAGCCAACAAGACAAATGCCCTGCGCTCAGTTTACAAGCCTCGTAAGACTTGTGAGGTCTGTCGCTAGGAGTGTAGGTAGCTTTCAAATGCGAGTGAAGCCCGGCAGACTCGGTTCACTGCGCACACAGGGGAGATCTTTGTCCTCACTTGGTCATGACCCAATCTCGGGGACTTTTCAGAACTTCCAGCATCTGAGCTTCAGGGCTACCTTCCTCGATCTCGTGGTTGTACTCATAAGCGATGATGGGCGGTGCCGATACCATTACACCCTCGACACGCGGGTTTGCATTCGCGAGGCCAAACTTTACGCCACGGTCATAGAGAAGGTTGAACTCCAGGTAGCGCCCCCGCCTCAGGAGCTGCCAGTGCCTCTGCCGGTCGCTGTACTTTTCCTGACGATGCCGTTCCACGATCGGAAGCCAGGAAGGCATCCATGCGGCAACTACGCCCTTCACGAAGTCCATTGCCTGTCGGTCAACTGGCAAGTCGTCAAAGAAAATTCCACCCGTGCCCCGATGCTCCTGCCGTGCAGGTAAGTAGAAATACTCATCGCAAGCCTTTTTCATTGACTCATAGGTATAGTTCTGTGCCGCCAGGGCGTTTGAACATAAGTCTTGATATTTCTGATGGAAGGATTGGATGTCTGCTTCATCCAAGTAGTATGGCGTCAAGTCTGCCCCTCCACCGAGCCAGGCTGTGGTTCTACCATCAGCCGACTTGACAGAAAAGATTCGCACATCCGAGCGGAAAGTCGGGATCAGGGGGCTTCTGGTATGGAGAACCATGCTGAGCGCCGCTGCCGAGTATTCGTCTCCTGCCTGCGCAAGGATATCCTCCTGGCGTGCTCGAATAGTTTTCGCCCGCTCTGCGGACAAAATACCTTTCCGAATGCACGTAAAGCTGCAAGCGCCTTTTTCAATGATGCCTCCACCCTGTAATACGCGAGTAATCCCACCGCTGCCTGCAGTGTTTGTCCGACCAGCAAGAGCTCCCCAAGGATCACGGCTGAAAGTTTCGCCGGATTCCCCTTCAACCTCCTCGAGTTCCTGGATGATATCTGTTTGTTGGGCTTTCAGAAACTCCACAAACCCGTCAAAAACCTGGTCTGCATCTTGAGACTCCTTCCTCTGAGCATGCTGCGACAAGACCTGAGATGAGCCTCGAGCTGCTGAAGGGCGCCCAACAAGGAAGCTTCTCCCCACAAAGCCTCCGCAGAGAAAGAGCACTGCAAGCGTATGGGTCGTGCTCGCGTGCCTGATGCGATGACGCGTGTGCGACAACCCCGGCCATCCCGGTCCCAGAACTGAAGCTTTCCATGGCATCATGCGCACTACAAAGCCGGAGAGACAACACGCAATAGCCTGATATGCACTGTCAACGCGAGTAGTGATCCGTGGACAACTTAGCTATTGAGCCGATACGCTCTGACAGCAAGCCCACACGGCCCACATCCATGCAGAGGCGCATGCTGCAGAGCATGTAGGACGCAGAGCATAGCCTGGCCCAAACAGAAGAGTTGTCCAGGCAGGTTGCAAGTAGCCCCAGCGGCAGATGGAAAAAGTCAAAAGTTCAATAGACCTCCACACCCCCAATAGGAGCTCCAAGGCCAGCACGATAATGTTGGACGGCACTCCTGGTCCACCGTAACCTGCAGCCAGAGTTCAGGTGCTCTACGGTTTAGGGTTGTAGGGTTTAGGGTTTAGGGAGTTAAAAAGGGGTTACAGGGTAAATACTGGGGTTAGATAGGTATATAGGGGATAATGAGTTTGGGGTTAAGGGTTGTTCGCAATGGTTGCAAAGCGCACCTCTTTCAGCCTTTAGTATGACGTGCGGGGGATCTCACAAGAATCAAGGGCTATGATTCTATAATATATTGGGGTAGATTATAAGGGGACCCTAAACCCTAAACCCTGACCCTGAACCGTCATCCCTATGTAACCCCTATGTAACCCCCTACCCTAAACCCTTAACCCTAAACCCATTATCCCCTGTATACCTATATAACCCCAGTATATACCCTATAATCCCTATATGGTCACACGTTGGTATTGGCCCGTAGTGTTTCGGGCCACCGGGTTGCGGGTCAGAATGTTTGAATGTCACAAAAGTG